TTTTTTTTTTCCTATTTTGTTGTTTATTTATTTTATTTTAATATATTTATAAAAGAGAAAAAATTGAAAGTACCTTTATACCCCCTCTTAGTTTAGTCAAAATTGAATGAATTTTGACTTTTTGGGTTGACTAACGGGCAACGGGATGGAATCCGGCCATTTTGACCTCCGGCGCATATTTTTTAAAGGTTTGGGACCTCCGCTGGTACAAATCAAAGGTTAGGGTAAAACGCGCAAAAATCTGAAAGGTTTGGGACCGCAGCTGCAATTATCCCTTGTTGTCCCGCAAAACATACATCGAATCAAGCTATATTCTACATATTTATTAACAATTATCCATATTTGGACCTACAATAAGTGTGTAAAAAGTAAAAACGCACTTATCGCTACCATATATAGGAAATTTGTAGGTGTTATTTTAATAATTTCTAGACTCAATTCCTTTACAACCCAACACTACCACTATCTATAGGCTAAGCTTAAAAGTTACTTAAAGTTACTTATTCTCACAATGAAATAGGGTTTACTTTCGACATGAGTGATTAAACTTAAATATAGGTAACTCATTTAAACTTAGTCAAACAAGCATTCCATCAAAGTAAAAGAGGATAACGTCAACAAACATACTAACCCATGTAACTAAATTTTTCTCCTCTATTGGGCGTGTCGTGCCCAAGGTTCTGCGTCCTGTAATAAGCTCTAGTAAGATAACTCCAGAACTGTATACGTCAGATTTGAATGTCAATTCACCATTTCTTTCATACTTGGGTGCACAATAACCATGACCCGGGATCATCTTATTTCCGCTCTGGACAAGCTTGGCTAGCCCATAATTCAAGAGTCCAGGAGTGGATTGTCGATCCAATAAAATATTTGAGGATTTTAAATTGCAATATATATTAGGGGGATTGGCCTTCTCATGTAAATACTAAGAATTAAACTACTTATACAATGAATTTGCACAATAATTTTGATAATATGTGAGGTGTATAGATCATTGCCATTGAATTCAAAAATAATTTTTCAAATCAATGGACAATTAGTCTGCTAATTCATATATTGTTAAATTCATTATACAAGTAGCATAATTCTAAAAAAAAAATGCATCTTCTCCACAAAAATGCCTATCAAACGTAGGCAAAATAATGGTTCTACAACAGTGGCTAAATAGGCTTTTACTATAGGTTTGAATCCAGAGGGTGTGAACTTTGAGGCCTACGTCGTCTAAGCTATTACTTGATTCATTCCTTGGGCAGTGTTCCTAGCTTTTAGACTCAACTGTCCATGCTGGCCCATTTCTTGATCACGTTACCAAAAGATTTAGCCATTTGATGGTATTTGAGTTTTTTTTTATATACTTATTTTTAATCATATATTTACATAACAAAATAAAATATTCTGTATGTAAATTTAAAATTTTTCTTATTTTTTAAACACATATTCTTCTAAAAATTAATATGCAAAATATTGTTTCGGCCAAATAATGATCATCAAATAGTGGCTTAATTATTAATCAATACTATGGTTAAATTTCAAGTTTTAAATCATATAAATTTCTAAGGGGTTGAATATAGATTTCGTAAAATCTTCATTGGACAATTCGTATATGTAGTTTCTTATCTCACCCCTTCGGCCACTTGGTTAAACTTAGCCCTGTTTGACAATAATTGCTTGAAAACTCCTTTTTTTTTTTTTTTTTT